GCTGTGCTATTGCTCCAGCCCCGGAGAGAGCTAAATGGGCTTATGCTTGCTTTGCATGCTGGAGACCTGGGTTCAGTCCCCCACTGCATAGTCCCCTGCACACCTCCAGAAGTGACCGCTATTGTAGTACAGAGCCAGGTGTGGCCACTTAAACCCACATTACTATTTGTAGTGCATTTCTTTCTCTTCCTCTTTTTCTCTCTCTTTCCTTTCCCCTCCTTCCCTCCTTCCCTCCCTCCTTTCCTCCCTCCTTCCCTCCCTTCCATTTGTATTTTGTCTGTCTCTGTCTCTCTCTTCCCCATTTTAAAAAATTCTTAAACCCTGCCACAACTACTTTATTAACTAAACTTAATGTAATATTTTACATCCTTTTTTGTCCTTTAGCTAATTTCCCAGTATCTCTGCCGGTAGATTCCATTTCAAGAAGCCATTTTCTTTGCACCTTGATAAGAGGCAACTCCTTATTCACCCAAGTTTGATAGATTGAGATTGCAGCAGTTCAGTTTCACTTTTCGGTACTTCTTCCATTGCCTGTTCTTCGTTTGTGTGTGTGGCATTTCTGGGGATCAAGCTCAGGTCTCGTGCATACACTCCATTGCTGGACTATAAGCCCAGCCCCTTCACTGAAGTTTTAAACCCTTCAAAATTACCAGTATAGGTTAGAGTGAACTTCTAACTTATATTATTGTTGATATTTTGACCTATTCTTATGAATCTCAAAAAAAAATACTTGAAATGCTCATTTCCAAAAGGTTTTCAGTTGACTGCTCAGATTCATCAGATGAAGCACCATTTTTGGTAGCTTTGCCTATGAAATGTGTTTTCTCATTTAATATTTTAATGCTAAAATGATTCTTAGATCTGTAAGCTACAGTAGGGACAATGTGACCAGGTATAAAAGTGACATTTACTTCCTTATACTTCTCTGCTTTGGGGTTACTATTTGTGTTGTCAGTGAGCAGTAATATTATGTAAAGTTTCCTTAGCAGTAGGTCCCAACAGTGGACCTGAACTAACACTGTTCATCAGTAAACTATGCTGTAGTAGATGTTGCTGTCATCAAGTTTTACTATCATATATATATATATAGACAGAGACAAAGTAGGGATTGAGCATCATTCTTATGGACCCTTGGATTTTTCAGAATTGCAAATGGTCTTGTACTTCAACTTGAAGCCCCCAGTGCAATAGCCATTGTCAAGAGAGCAAGCCTGTCCTGCGTGGTTTTGACGGCCAGTGCTGACTTTCCATTCCACTCTCAGCCTGTTCCATCTCCATTGATAATCTGTTTAACTGTCTTTGTCAATTGCCTTACTTAGATCTTGTCTGTAATCTGCTATGCTTCCAATATCAGCACCTGTTGCTTCATTTTACACTTTGTTATTGTGTCTTACCTTTATCCCTAGGAACCACACTCTATTAACTTCAAACATTTCTTGCACTTCTTTATTTCTCTGCCTTTACAGATTGTAGTCAGGGTCACATTCTGAATTAGACTTGACCACTGAAACTGTCTCCTCAAGCAGTGTCTGTTTCACTGTCTTGATCTTACGTCTTGTCGAGTAGCAACCCTTAAATTCCTTTAGGAACATTTTCCTCTGCCTTCCCAGCTTGACCGTTAGCTAGCTGATGGGCACAGGAGGCCTAAGTTATGCCATGACTGCATTTCCATCCACCATCAAAATGCCAGGATCCCTCCACTCCAGTCATCTCGGCCCTCCCTTGCTCCCAGCCCTCGACTCTCTCGGGAGCCTAAGTTTTGCAGTCAATACAGGGGTTTGGCTTTATCTGTACCTTCGCTTTATTTTGTATTCCTTTATATCACATGAGTGAAATTATTTGGAATGTTTCTTCCTCCTAATTTTTTTGAGCACCCTCCATGTTGTTGCAAATTATTTTTTTGGGGGGGCCACACTTGGTGACGCTAAGATTACTCCTGTCACTGCAACTAAGAAATTATGCTGTGGTGCTTGGCACTACATGTGATGCTAGGTCTCGAACCTGGGTCAGCTGTATGCAAGGCAAGCACCCCACTCGTTTTCTATCGCCATGGCCATGTGTATTCCTTTGTATTTAATTTTGTTCTGTTTTGTTCTGGGGGTCACACCTAGTGATGTTCAGCGTATCATAGAGTGCTGGGGACAGCTGTGTGGAAGGCAAATTAATTCTTGTTCAACCTTGTACACTCCTGTGGAGTTTATTTGTTGTTGCTAGGTTTTCTTTGGGGGCTTAGGGGGTGTAGGGAGGAGACCGTGTTGGTCCATACCCAGAAGTACAAGGGAATCAGCCCCAGGGTCATCCACATGCAAGACAAGTGCTCTCCTTGCTGTATTATCTTTCTATCACCTGCGTCCTTTTTATATCTTAAATACTAACTCCTTATCAGATGTATAGTATGTAAGGGGGTTTTTTTGTTTTGTTTTGTTTTGTTTTGTTTTGCGTTTTGGGCCACACCCGGCGATGCTCAGGGATTACTCCTCATTCTTCACTCAGGAATTACTTCTGGCAGTGCTCAGGGGACCATATATGGGATGCCGGGAATCGAACCCGCTTGCAAGGCAAACGCCCTACCTGCAGTGCTATCACTCCAGCCCCTGTGTCAGCATTTTCTGCCTTTCATTAGGTTCCCTTTTCATATTTTACTCTTAGTAGTTTTTACAAAGTTGTACATAGTTGGGTTCCAGACTCACTGAGTGGCAGCACCATCCCCCATCTGTGTCTTCCCTCTCCAGGCTTCCCAGGATTCTGCCCCTTCCCCCCATCCCAGCCAACCACCCTGAGAGGCCCCCTTTTTTAAAATTATTAGTAAAACAACATGAGGTACAGTTGTAGACTTACAAATTTTTGTGCTTGGGTTTCGATTATATAATGATCGAGTACCCATCCCTCCACTTATGCCCATTTTCCACCACCATGGATCCCAGTATCCCTTCCACCCCCTATCCCCCCCATCCCACCCTGCCCCTGTGGCAGGGCATTCTCTTTTGTTTTTTCTCTCCTTTTGGGTATTGTGATCTGCAAAAGAGGCATTGAGTGGCAATCATGTTCGGTTCATAGTCTACTTTCAACATGCATCTGAAACATGCATCTCCCATCCTGGGAGGATCGAGAGGCCCCTTTTAAAGTTTGTTCTTTGGGGTTCAGATCTCTTGTTCTCATTGTGTTGACCCTGGCTTGGCTCTATCACCCCTTTAACCACCGAGGAACTCGGATCCCCTTGGCCCCTGCTCCCCGTCCTCTCCGTCTGCTTCCCCCTCTACTATTTTCCTTCTCTGTTCTTAGTTTGGTGTGATCCTCTTAATTATCTAGTTTTGTTTTAGTTTCCCTTAGTTTTGGAGCAGAGTGAAGGTATCGCTCAAGATACTGTCAGTGCATTACTTATGTTTTCTCCCTGATTCTCAACCCCCATCCCTGTTTCTGCAGTGACCAGGGGGTGTCCACACTTTGGCGGAGGAGTTTCATATTTGGTAATTTTTGCATACAATTTTTCCCCTTTTTGGTCATGGCGCTCACAGGGGCCTCACGGGGGTTGATGTGATGCTCCACGCTGTACTCATGCTGCCGTACCTTGTGCTTGGCAGGGCTCACAAGCTGCAGGCCACAGGGGCACCAGCAGGTACCTCTTGCCTGTTTCCTCAGGTATTTTGTGGCTCCAAGACTTACATCGACGTCCTTCATGTGTTTTTGTTGTTTTCTGGGCTGGGGGCCACACCTGGTGTTGTCTGGGACCCGACTACTCCCCAATGGTGCCGGGGACCCCCTGGTGCTGTGGATTGACCTGTGGCCAATTAGCAGGCACGTGCTCTAGCTCTTGGAGCTATTTCTATGATTTCTCTTAAATGCATTGTGAATTAATTTTTGTGAATGGTGTGAAATGTGGTCTAGTTTCTTTTCCTAACTTTTGTTGAGAGCCACTTACATGCTTTTTGACTTCTTTGTCATAAATAAACTTTTCATGTATGTTTGGTTTTGTATTTGAGCTCTCCCTACTGATTTGTGTGTGTATATCCTCTCCCCTCCATTATCATATTTCGATTACTATGCACTGTAGTCTTGCTTTTTATTTAAAATGAGAGGGGTACTACTCTTCCTTTCACTTAGACCTCAGTAGGATTGTTAATTGGCTCAGTTTCAGTATCGTTGTGAAGGAAATATCATGGTTTTGTTCTTGTTTGGGGGCCACCGTCTGTGGTACTTGTGTTGCTCCAGGTTGTACACTGGGACCATCGGGTGCCAGGGATCATACCTGAGGTGTAGTGTGCACTACAGCACCTTGAATCGTCTTTCAGTCTGTCATTACTTCTTCCCAAGGTAATGTCTATAGAGTGCAGTAAAATGAAGTTTCTATATATGGAAAGAATTCAGTTAAGAAGGACTCTCAGTTTCTCAGACCACGTGTACTCTCTTGAAGACAGAACCTCTCAAAGAGTTCAGTTGGGTGCTAATTGCTAATTAGTCGTTTTTTTGTTTTTGTGTTTTGTTTTTTTTTCCCCCCTTTTGGGTTACACCTGGTAGTGATGCTCAGGGGTTACTCCTGGTTCTGCACTTAGGAATTATTCCTGGTGGTGCTTGGGGGACTATAAAGGGTGCTGAGGATTGAACCTGGGTTGGCTCCACGCAAGACAAACAGCCAACCCACTGTAGTATCGCTTTGGCCCTGTAATTAAATTTCTATCTAAGAATATAATTTTGTCAAGACAATGGATGCTGATATAAAGGATCCTCTATAAATTTGAGAAGTCAGAAATGTCAGTGTATCAGAACAATTTTTAGTGGAGGAATACAAAGGGTGTAATAGATTATTTGGTTTTGTCAGAGTGGGTGGATGGATATTTGTTGAATAATATTAATTATAGATTTGCTCACATAAAGTTTATATTGAATGACTGCTGGGGAGACTAAGAAGCAATTGTTAATATAAACAAGTATCTAATAAAATTGGTAACTACTTTTGTGCTCTAATCAAAGTAAATGTTGTCTTTTCTTGTTTGATTCTGTAGTTGGAAGATGCTGGTTCAAGTAGTTTAGATAATCTACTAAGTAGATACATCTCAGGCACTCACCTACCCCCCCAGCCCACAAGCACCATGAATCCCTCCCCGGGACCCTCTGCCCTATCTCCAGGATCATCAGGTAAAGCCATCCAAGGTACAGTAAGTCCTCACTTAAGTCATCTATAGATTCTCAGATACTGCGACTGCTCTCATGACACCAGCCCTCGAAACATACCATTCAGTTTTGTACTTCATTTAGTGCCAGTTGAGATCTTTTTTTTTTTTTTTAACCACTGCCCCCACTCCCCCCTCCACCCACCAGCAATGTTATACCAAATGGTACTTAGTGGAACTACTGTATTTCATTAATGTCTTAAAATTACCTTTGAGTATGTGTGTTAGTCAGATTCTCTAGAAAAAGTAAACTGTAAGGGGAAGAGGCTGGAGGAACTGGCGTAGGCAACTGTCCACTGGTAGAGCCTGAAACGGGCAGTTTGGGTAGACAGTAGCGTTATGGCTCTCTGCCACTGGAAGCCAGAAAAATCTGTTCTTTATCTAGGTACCTCGGCTTTTTTCCAGAACTTTCCACTGAGATTGGAAGAGGTCCACTTTCATGGAGGCCGAGCTGCTTTATGCAAAGTCTGATTATAGTTTTAGTTGCAGCCAAGAACTAGCTTCCTCCAGTAACGTGACTGTATGTTTGGGCAAAAGCTGGCAATGTGTTCTAGCCAAGTGGATGCATAAATCAAACATCAGTGACATCATTTCTTCTTCCTTGGCTGCTCTTATTATTAATACTCAAATTCTCTTGGCACCGTTCATCTCATTGAACATACCTAGTTACCCATACATATACAAGCACATATCTTGTTTTATGCTGCTCAAACTCGAAAATATTCGTCCCCGGACTCCCAGCTTTTTTTTCTTTGTTTTTGGGTGCATTTGCTTCCCATGTCTTTCCCCTCCCTTAAGCAAACACTTCTCATGGTTCTGTCAGGAACCAGCCTGGGTGCCAACCTGATCTTACTCCTGAGAGGGGCCTCTTCTCCTCTTCTGGTTCTGTCTGCATCGGGCCTTCTCATTTGGGGCACTCAAAAAGCAAAACTGCCTCTTTTTTGGTTTGTTTTGGGGCCTTACTTGGCATTGCTCAGGATACCGAAAAAGTGGTGCCAGGAATCAAATCATGGTTACTGGCATGCAAGCCAAGTGCCTTGACTCTTGTCTCCAGCCCCTCATCCTCTTTTTTTTTCTCTCTCTCTCTCTCTTTGGGTCACACCTGGCGATGCACAGGGGTTACTCCTGACTCATGCACTCAGGAATTTCTCCTGGCGGTGCTTGGGGGACCATATGGGATGCTGGGAATCGAACCCAGGTCTGCCGCATGCAAGGCAAATGCCGTACCCGCTGTGCTGTTGCTCCAGTGCCCTTCATCCTCTTTTTAAAAAAGCATTGGCCCCCTTCATGAGTTCCCACCCTCCTGACTTTAATCCTAATCATCTCAAATTCAGTACTCTTGTATTATTCAATACTGTCAGGATTGGGTACCGGGCTCCTATTTCTGATATTTTATATAGATGAGAATTTCTTAATATTTCTTAAAGAATTTCTTAATATCAATCCAAGTTTAAAACTTTAAAATAATTTTTAAAAATCTATAAACAAGCACTGAGGGACTGGAGAGTTAGCACAGCGGTTAGAACTCTTGCCTTGCACACGGCCATCCTGGGTTTGATTCTTGGCATCACATACAGTCCTCAAAGTCTGCTCAGAGTGAGCCCTGAGTACAGTCAGGATTGAGTCCAGTCTGTTGGAAGGCACTGCAGGATGTGGCCCCCAAACCAAAAAAACAAACAAACAAAATAGCCCCAAGCAATGATGAACAGGCACGTGGCTCAATAGTGGGGGCATTCTTCCCTGAGCTTGAGGCTCTCAGTTTGAGTCCTTGTCCTGGGAGAGGGGTAAGGAAGGCAGGACAGAGAGTTTGGGAAAGGAAAGTGAATTCTGTAGTGTAGTTTTGTTTGCTTGTCTTTTGAGCTGCCTCCACTGGTGTTCAGGGACTGAGACTGTGAGTGTGGAATTGCTTTTGGCAATAAGGGGGGTGAGCCCACTCCTCTATGGCTAAGCGCTCATTACAGTCCCTCGCCTCAAATTGCAATTTTAAATACACATCTAAATTTAATTGTAAAATATCAAAAATGTGTCAGATGATGTCTTTGAGATATAAATGGACATCTCTTGAGATGTCCTGTCTTCTAAAATTTGTTTTATTGTTCCTATTACATAAATAATTATTAAGCAAGTCCAGACAGATTGACAGGTATAAAAATAATTATGGAATTTTTTTTTTTGTTAAGGTGAAATGTTACTTTGTTATTACTAAAATAGAATATTTTTAAGGAGCCCAAATTTAAATGTTGTATGTGTGATGTTTTTAGTTGTATAATTTTTTGAGGTTTAATATACATATTCCAGGACTTAATGATAGAATAATCAGCAACACAAAATAAGGTATTTAGCAGAACAGAGTAGGTGGCAGATAGCTTTCTGGTGATCTGGTAGTGCTCGGTTGAATAGTGTTGCTCTGGAGGGATTCTGAGCATTGTGTCTGGGATTGCCCGAGAAATGGATAATGGCCTGTAGACACGATGTCATCCCTGACTTGGAGACTGAGACCAGATTTGACTTCCAAGAACTTGCTAAACTGTTATCATTAACTTTGAATTGGGCAACTGATATGCAGAATTGTGACTGTTGTTAACAAAAGTGATGGGAGGGTGGCTGGATGAAGATTGGACACAAAGACACTGGTTGGAGGGGTGCAGTGAGGCTGTACAGATTAAGTATTAAGCTCTGACATAATCGGGAACTGTACTACATAAGCTAGCACTGAAAATGACCTAAATTAAGAAGTATGACACTTGCTGTTTCCACTGATAACTCATTTTGCCTTGTGTTTTAGGTTTATCTAATTCACACACGCCTGTGAGACCTCCCAGCACCTCCAGTACCGGCAGCCGTGGCAGGTGAGAATCCCATCACAGAGGGCTGCTCTCCACTCTCTCCTCTTTGGGCTTTTGGACCACATCTGATGCTACTCAGGGGTTACACCCATGAGTGTAACCCCTGGTAGCACCCATCTAATGCTTCTTAGTGGTTAGGAGGTGGGCTAGCGGGGCATATGCAGAGCCAGGGATGGCCAAGGTATAAATAAGGCAAGACAAATGCCATGACTTGCATGCTCTCTGACCTCCCATTTTTTTTTCCAGTTAAGAAAAAATTTAAAAATGTATGTAGCACTGTAGCACTGTCCTCCCGTTGTTCATCAATTTGCTCGAGCGGGCACCAGTAACATCTCACAACAAATTATGAGACTTCTTGTTACTGTGTTTGGCATATCAAGTACGGCACGGGGAGCTTGCCAGGCTTTGCCGTGCGGGTGAGATACTCTCGGTAGCTTCCCGGGCTCTCCAAGAGGTGAGAAGTAGAATTATTGGTTCTAGAGAGATACTACAGCAGGTAGGGCTTCTCCTTCTCTCCATCCCCAGCCCCTCCATCACCCAGGGGGCACACCCAGCAGTGGTCAGGGCTTACTCCTGGCTCTGCACTCTGGAATCACTCCTGGCAATATTCAGGGAACCATATGGGATGCTGGGGATCGAACCCAGGTTGGCTGTGTGCAAGACAAATGCCCTCACCAATATACTGTTACTCCAGCCCAAAGGCATATGATTTAGTATGGTTTTTGTTTGTTTTGTTGTTTATGTTAGCAGCCAGTAAGATCATTCTGTAATTGTATATTTTTTTAGTGGTTGAAAAATGGTAACATAAATGTTACACATTTTAAGTACATTAGTTTAGAATACTTAAAGGAAAACTTTATCGCTGTCACTGTCCTCCCTTTGTTCATAGATTTGCTTGAGTGGGCCCAGTAATGTCTCCATTGTGACACTGTTACTGTGTTTGGCATATCGAATACGCCATGGGTAGCTTGCCAGGTTTATCCGTGCGGGCGAGATACTTTTGGTAGCTTGCCGGGCTCTCTGAGAGGGGTGGAGGAATTGAACTCTGGTGGGCCAGGTCAGCCATATGCAAGGCAAACGCCCTACCTGCTGTGCTATCGCTTTATCATAAACAATTATAGAAAAGCCATTATTGGATTTTTTTATTGCCTATTTTCATATGGTATCAGCATCCTCTCTTGACCATGAAGTTTTATTATTACTGCCTTTATGGATTTCTGTTATGTTAATAAGTTAATGTGCCTGGAATTGACCCCAAAGTCTCACATATTCAAGGTAAATTCTCTATTGCTGAACCACATCCCTGGTTCCAAATTCATATATTTAAGCATTTTTATATGCTCTAAATCAGAGATTGCCAAATTCACTTGGCCTGCAGCTCCAGTTTCAGGGAATGATACGCATCAACTTGCTGGACTTGGTCTTTAAGTGAGCCAAGCAAAAGTCCGCTCTAAATTGTACTCAAGGCGGTATCACCCTCTTTAGAAACTATTGTTTTAAACCATCAAATATGTTTCATGAAGCTTAAGTTGTTCTCTCCTTGGGGGAGGACCTGTCAAAGCTTTTCCAAGGTAGCTTATATCTTTTTGCTATCACCCATTAAAAGTGCCCTGGTTTTCTATTATCGAAGAATGCTGTAGGGTTGGGTATGTTGCTCAGTGGTAGAGCTCATGCTTCATATGTGTGAGGTCCCGGCTTCCATCTCTGGGAATGCATGCCCTCTTGACATTTTTTAAAAAACTTGTTTTGTTGTCTGCGTTTTGGGCGCTACATGTGGTGGTGCTCAGTGCTTACTCCTGGCTTTGCACTCAGGCATCACTCCTGAGAGAGTTTGGGGGACCAAATGGGGTGCTAGGGTCAAACCTGGATGTGGATGCCCCTGTATATTCAACACGTGATAGAATAGTCCTGGCGGCCCCAAGTTTTGGCCGTGGCCCTCCTTACAAAAGGAGGTTCCGGGTTAGCTTATGTGTTTTTTCCTTAGATCTTGGACTCAACCAGGTTCCTGAGAATCTCTGGTCGTGTAACTGGGGATATGGTGCCTGGAGGCCGTGCAGGTGCAGGGGCATCCATGACTGTGGAATCGTCCTTTGTTTCTTGACTTACAGCTTAGGAATAGTGGGGAAGGGGGAATAAGGAAGTGTGGGAAGAAATGATGTAGGAGGAGCAGTTGTACAGCAGGTCGGGCACGTGCTGGCCCGATTTGGATCCCCAGCACCTCCTGTGCCTTTCCTGCCCTCCAGGAGTGAGGCCTGAGTATAGCTGGATGTGCCCCCAAAACAAAACAAAACAAAAAAACACGTCAGATAAATTAACTGATTTTGCTCTGAATCAAAGTACGATACAAGAAAGATTTTAGTAATTATCACTGTTCCACATTGCATTATAATGACTAGTCTCACTATGTGCTTGGCTTTTGCAGAGTTGGGGCACGCACAGTGTTGGGGGCCTGCTCTTGGCTCTGTGCTGAGAGATTGTCCCAGCCGGGCATCGAGCCCAGACTGCCCTGCACAGAGCAGCTCTCCAGCCTTGCTGACTGTGTTCCTCTCTGTGCTTCATCCCTCAGCCTGTCAGTGTAGTGATTCAGATAGGACTTCTGAGATACCTGCTTGGCTTATCCTTCTGATCCCCACCTGCAAAAGCTATTTCAGTCTTTGCTTTGAGGAGTCTTGTTGAAACCACTGTTACTGATACTATATTTTTCAGATTTGGGGACAAAGAAGAATTGGAACAAACAGCGAGAATGAGTCACTGACAGTCTGTACAACTTGCTGGGGAAAATTATTGTCTCCATAAATACTTGAGACCAATCCCTCAGACTCTAAAATACTTGGCTAGGGTCTTCTGAATAACATATACTCTTAATGAGTATGACACTAATTGGGTTGCATTTATGTGGTTCTCTATTTTTTTACTTCAGTGAATGTTACTTTTCATTTAATTGGTATGTGCACGGTATAGTTAAGTGTATTTCAACCTTTATTTTCTGTTAGCTGTGGGTCATCAGGAAGAACTGCTGAGAAGACAAGTCTTAGTTTTAAGTCTGATCAAGTGAAGGTTAAGCAAGAGCCTGGGACTGAGGATGAAATCTGTAGCTTCTCGGGGGCCGTGAAGCAGGAGAAGACGGAGGATGGAAGGAGGAGCGCCTGCATGGTGAGTGCCCACTAGGTCGGTAGGGAGTCACGTCAGTCACGTCACTGCTTCTCTCCCTGAGCAGTGATTCTCAGAATAGTTCTGGGGATGATGGGGTTTCTTTTAATAAAATCACTGTGAATCCTTAAAGTTACATAGATACTCCTGATTTCTTTTCCAGCATGCAATGTTCTCACACCAGACCCTTCACTGGTGCCCACGCCCCCTCCTGCCCTGCAGCCTCTCTTATGGGCACTTCACCCCTACCGCTTCCCAGCATTTCCTTTCCTCGCTTAACCCCACCCCAGTGACAAACTTCCTGCTAAAGATTAGTCCTTATGCTCTTGTTTCTGCTGCCTTCGAGCATATTCTCCTACGAAGTTCCTTTACATCCCACATATGAGAGATCACTCTGAATCTGTCCCTTCCCACTGGTTAATGGCACTCAGCATGCGACTCTGCAGGTCCATCCCTGTAGCAGCAGATTGCATGGCTTCATTTTTTCATATAGTTGAGTAGTATACAGTTGTGTATATTTGCCAGAGTTTCTTTAGCCACTCATCTGTTCTGGGACGCTTGAATTGTTTCCAGATTTTAGCTGTTGTGAATAGTGCTGCAATGAACATAGGAGTGCAAGCTTGTTTTTTTCTGTATTGTGTTTTTGGGCCCTTCGGGTATATTCCCAGGAATGGGATTGCTGGGTTGCATGGAAGGTGAATTCCTGGGTTTTTTTTTTTTTTTTAATTTTTATTAGAGAAACACCATGAGGTACAGTTGTAGACTTACAAATTTTTGTGCTTGGGTTTCAGTTATACAATGACCTATCCCTCCACCAGTTCCCATTCTCTACCACCAATGATCCCAGTATTCCTCACACACCCCCATCCCCCCATCCCACCCCACCTCTGTGGTGGGGCATTTCCTTTTGTTTTCTCTCTCCTTTTGGGTGCTGTGGTTTGCTAAAGAGGCATTGAGTGAAAATAATGTTCGGTCTATAGTCTGCTTTCAGCATGCATCTCCCAACCTGGGAGGATCCTTCAAACACCCTTTAGTTGGTGCTCCCTTCTCTGTCTGAGCTGCTTTTTTCCCTAGTGTATGTGGCTGGCCTCCAAGCCATGGAATGAAACTCCTGGTACTTATCTCGGCTATTCTTGGGTGTTAGTCTCCTATTTTGTTACTTTATATTCCCCAGATGAATGCAATCTTTCTATGTCTGTCCCTCTCTTTCTGACTCATTTCACTTAGCATGATACTTTCCATGTAGTACCACTTGTATGTAAATTTCATGAATTCATCTTTTTTTTTCTCTTATTTTTTTTTTCTTTTTTCAAAATTTTTATTAGTGAAACACCATGAGGTACAGTTGTAAACTTACAAATTTTTGTGCTTGGGTTTCAATTATACAATGATCAAGTACCCATCCCTTCACCAGCGCCAATTTTCCATCACCATGGATCCCAGTATCCCTCCCACCGCCATCCCCCCGATCCCACCCTGCCTCTGTGGCAGGGCATTCCCTTTTGTTCTCTCTCTCTCCTTTTGGGTGTTGTGGTTTGCAAAAGAGGCATTGAGTGGCAATCATGTTCAGTCTATAGGACTTCATTTTTTCTAACAGCTACATAGTACTCCATTGTGTAGATATACAAAAGTTTCTCTAACCAGTCATTTGTTCTCGGGCACTCAGATTTTTTCCAGATTCTGGCTATTGTAAAGAGTGCTGCAATGAATAAACAAGTGCAGATGTCACTTCGACTATATTTTTTTGCCGCTCCGGGATATATTCCCAGGAGTGGTATTAGTGGGTCAAATGGGAGCTCAATTTCTAGTTTTTTGAGAATCGTCCATACTGTTTTCCAAAAGGGCTGAACCAGTCGGCATTCCCATCAGTGAAGGAAGGTCGCTTTCTCCTGCATCCTCGCCAACACCAGTTGCTTTTGTTCTTTTGTATGTGGGCCAGTCTCTGTGGTGTGAAATGATATCTCATTGTGGTTTTGATCTGCATCTCCCTGATGATTAGCAATGTAGAGCATTTTCTCATGTGCCTTTTAGCCATAAGGATTTCTTCTTTGAGAAAGTTTCTGTTCATTTCATCACCCCATTTTTTGATGGGGTTGGATGTTTTCTTCTTGTGGAGTTCAACCAGTACTTTGTATATCCTTGATATCAACCCTTTGTCGGATGGGTATTCCCATACTGTCTTTGTATTTTGGTCACTGTTTCTTTTGAAGTGCAGAAGCTTCTTAGTTTAAGATAGTCCCATTTGTCTATCTCTGTTTTCACTTGCTTGGCCAGTGGCATGTCATCTTTGAAGATCCCGTTAGCTACAATGTCGTGGAGGGTTTTGCCAACCTTGTCTTCAATGTACCTTATGAATTCCGGTCTGATGTTGAAGTCTTTAATCCATTTTGATCTTATTTTTGTACATGGTGTTAGGCAGAGATCTGAGGCCCCCCCTTTTTTTTTGCATGTAGCTGTCCACTTTTGCCAGCACAATTTGTTAAAGAGGCTTTCCTTGCTCCACTTCACGTTTCTTGCTCCCTTATCAAAGATTAGATGATCATATGTTTGGGGGGAGATGTCAGTATATTCCACCCTGTTCCATTGGTCTGTAACTCTGCCTTTGTTCCAGTACCATTTTTTTAAAATTATTATTGCTTTGTAGTAGAGCTTGAAGTTAGGAAAGTGCTTTAGCTATCCGTGGGACTTTTCATGGAGGCTTAATGTTCCATATGAATTTCAGGAGTATTTGCTCCATTTCTTTGAAGAATGTCATTGGTATCATTATAGGGATTGCATTGAATTTGTACAATGCTTTGGGTAGTATTGCCATTTTGACCATTTAATTCTCCCAGTCCATGGTCAGGAGATATCTTTCCATTTCCTTGTGTCCTCTTTTATTTCAACATTGAGTTGTTTGATTTCGAGGTGTTTGATTTGGTTCTCCATGTCTGTGTGTGATTCACTTTTATCTTCAGTGCATTGTGGTCTGAAAAGATTGTTGATACTACTTCTATCTTCCTGATTCTCTTGAAGTATGTTTTGTGGCCTAGCACACGGTCTATTTTGGAAAATATTCCATGTGCACTGAAGAAGAATGTGTATTCTTTCTTTTGGGGGTGTGAAGCCCTGTATAGGTCTATAAGCCCTCTCTTTTCTATTCAAAGCCAATGTTTCTTTGCTGAGTTTTGTTCTTATTGATCTATCCAGAGGTGATAAGGCGATGTTGAAATCTCTGGCTACTATTGTGTTGTTAGCAGTGTCCTCCCTAAAATCTGTTAGCAGTTGTTTTAAATATTTAGCTGTTCCCTCATTAGGTACGTGTACATTTAAGAGTGTGATTTCTTCCTGTTGTATCTATCCCTTGACAAATAGAAATGGCCTTCGCTGTCCCTTCTAATCTTTTTCAACCTGTAATTTATGTTGTTGGATTTTAGTATAGCCACCTCAGCTTTTTTGAGGGAGCTGTTTGCTTGAAGGATTGTTATCCATCCTTTAACTTTGAGTCTGTGTTTGCTGACTGTTGAGATGAGTTTCTTGTAGGCAACAGAATGTTGGGTTCTGCCTCTGAATTCATTTTGCCACTCTGTGTCTCTTAATTGGTGAATTTAGGCATTTACGTTGAAAGAGATTATTGTTACGGTGTTTTGTGTCATCTTTCTGTAAGGGTCTCTTGTGCTTGTAGGGTTTGTCTTGTCTTATAGTAGCCCCTTGAGCCCTTCTTTTAGGTTTGGTTTTGAGTCTATGAAGTTTCTGAGCTGCTGCTTATCCACAAAATAGTGTACCATTCCTTCAATTTTGAGTGAGAGTTTAGCTGGATAGAGTATTCTTGGTGAAGCATTCATTTCAGTGAGTTTTTTCACTATATCCCACCATTGCTTTCAGGCTTGGTGGGTTTCCTCTGATAGGTCTGCTGTGAATCTAAGGGGTGCTCCTTTGTATGTAATTTCTTTCTTTGACCTTGCTGCTTGCAGTATTGTGTATCCACAGCATCCATCATTCTAACTATGATATGTCTTGGAGTGTTTTTGTTAGGATCTCTTTTAGCTGGTACCCTTGAATCTGAATGGCTGCATTGTCGAGCTCTGGGAATTTTTCAGCAATGATTTGTTTAACCGTGGCTTTTTCATTGGAATTGTTTCCCTGAGCTTCTGGTAGTCCAATGATTCTAATGTTGTTCCTCTTGGAATCATCTCCTAGGACCCTGATTTGCTCTAGAGCTATTTGAGGTCTCTTACCATTGTTTGTTGTTGCCTGTAGGCTTGGTGCAGCTGATCTTCCAGCTCACTGATTCTGTCTTCAGCTGTGGCCGTTCTACTGTTGAGGGCACAGACTGAATTTTTTATTTCATCTATGGAATCTTTTATTCGTGACATTTCTTTGCCTAGCTTTCCAACTTCTGCTCTCATTTCTTCCCGTATTTTCTCAGTTGTTTCTTTCATGTCCTCCTCCAATTTACTAGATATCTGTCTCACTGTTTCATTGAGTTCATTGAACATCTTCATTACTTCATACCTGAATTCTTTCTCAGAGAGGTCCCTTAGGTGAGTAGCACCTACTGAGGCTTCTGGACTCTTTTCATCGTCCTCCCCTTGTGGTGGGGATTTGCGTTGTTTCTTTATGTTGGTGTGGAGTTATAGAGACTGAGATGTTACACAAGATTGCTAGGTATGAGTAAACTACCTGTGGTTGCTTGGTGGCTGCAGTCCCAAAATTAGGCCACGCCCACTTCTGAAGAGGCCACACCTCCTACGGGTACCTGGTGGGGGGGGGGGGTTAACAACCTGGGGGAGGAAGAAGACCCAGCACAGCATTGGGGAAAAACAGGAAGAGGCTCAGGGATGGTGGGCGTCCCAGGGTCCTAGAGGATGCCTGGGGCACGTAGGTGGAGAAATCCATGTCCCGGGTTTGAGCACGGACTGACCTGGTGTAGGAAGAAGACTGGGCACAGCGTTGGGGACGGACAGGAAGAGGCTCAGCAATGGTGACCCTCCCAGGGTCCTAGAGGACGCCTGGGGCACATACACGGAGAAATCCAAGCCTCCGTTCGAGCACGGACTTACCTGGAGTAGGAAGAAGACTGGGCACAGCCGTTGGGGGGATAGACAGGAAGAAGCTCAGGGATGGTGAGCGTCCCAGGGTCCTACAGGATGCCTGGGGTGCGTACACGGAGAAAGCCAAGTCCCAGATTCGAGCACGGACTGACCTGGGGGACGAACAGCGATGAATTCCGAGTTTTTTGAGGTGTATTCATATCTGAAAAAAATATCTTATATATCATAAAATATATCATATCTTCCAAAAAGGTCTGACCTCAACATTCCCACTAGCAGTGAAAAAAATGTATTTAGGGTCACTTGAAATTATTTAGTTTGTGATTATTATTATTATTTTTTTTTTTGGGCTATGATTCTAAATTGGGCTCACACGGTCTTCTTTCTTCCTCTATTGCTCTCTCTCGTTCTCTCGCTTGCTCTCGCTCTTGCGCTCTCTCTCTCTCTCTCTCTCTCTCTCTCTCTCTCTCTCACTCTCTCATCTCTCAATGGTCACATTCTGTCTTAGCCATATTCTTGGACTCCTGATTTAAGAATTAAAAGTACTGATGAGGAATTTTTGTGACCAAAGAACTTTGTGTTAGAAAGATTGCTTTTTTTCTCATGTATTTGAGTTCTTCACCTAATACAGTTTATATATTATATTGAAGGAAGGCCCAAGTCGTCTTTTTTTTTTAATTGTTTTGGCTTTTCAGTTCAACTCAGGGTATTGATATATTCAGTATAGTATTTGTACACTAAGCAGTGGATTTTTTGTTATTTTTTACCCAGTGATGCTTGGCGGTTACTCCAGGCTCTGCTTAGGAATCACTCCTAGTGGCGCTTGGGAGACCATATTGGATGCTGGGACTGGACCTGGTGGGCCACTTGTAAGGCCAACTCTTACCCCTGTGCTGTCACTCTGGCTCCATTGTAGCCAGAAACTTACCAAGTCTTGGATTTAGAGTATTTTCATCTCTTCATCAAAACCTGGTTTGGAAAGTGCTGCCAAAAATTGAGTATGAAAGGTGATAAACATTTTCCCTACACTTGACATCTTTTTGCATTTTTTCTACACTGCATAATTTTCATACATTCCAATAGAAGAATGTTTCAGAATGTTTCTCAGATGCTTTGGAATAGATTCTTGTGCATAAATAAAGGCTCTGAAGTCATTTCTCTTTAGGAAATACATAGTTCTGCGCTCACGTCCCAATCAGGTTCTTAATGGTTTGATTAGTTCTGATCAGCCTGAGTTTTAAAAATGTACACAGTGCACATTGCTGACAGTGACATTCAGAGGGTTCTTCAAGAATATCTGTTTTTGTTTTGTTTTAGTTGAGCAGCCCTGAGAGTAGCTTGACCCCACCTCTCTCGACTAACTTACATCTAGAGAGTGAGCTGGATGCATTAACAAGCCTGGAAAACCATGTGAAAAGTGAGCCTGCAGATATGAATGAGAGCTGCAAACAATCAGGACTCAGCAGCCTTGTGAACGGCAAGTCCCCCGCTCGGAGCCTCATGCACAGGGCAGCCCGGTTCGGAGGGGATGGCAGCAGCAAGGACGAGGACCCCAATGAGGACTGGTGTGCGGTCTGCCAGAACGGAGGGGACCTGCTGTGTTGTGAGAAGTGCCCCAAGGTCTTTCATCTGACTTGTCATGTTCCAACACTGCTTAGCTTTCCAAGGTACCAGAAAATATGCCTTTTCTTCTTTATTTGTATAAGCTTAAAAGAATAATTATTCAGATAGATGACTTTGACAAATAAAGTTGCCTCTGTAGAACAGAAATTGGAGCATGTTACTCCTTTGGTGTATTACTTTCTAGGGAGAGAGTAGCCGGATGATTAGTTGTTCAAAATGTAAGTGGTGTATTAATGACAAAATAGACTTTCCTGACCTGGAGTTATACTTAGTGTAAGCATACGAGGTAGGGACTTTAGTGTAAGCATACGAGGTAGGGACTTGAGCGGTAGTATGGCAGGGATGGTATGTGCATTGCTCACAGCCAAACTGAGTTCGATCCCTGGCATTGCAAACATCCTGAGCACTACCAGGAGTAATTCTTGTGTGCAGAGCCAAGAATAACCCTAAGCATCGCCAGGGCAACACCCCCAACCTCCAACCTCCCCATAAGTTCTTATTGTAAGTGATGAAAGAGCTGCTGGATTTTGGGAGAAAGTTGACTTAACATGAGTCTCAGGGTATAAAATCTATTGCCATCAAGACGGATAGGGTCTTTGAATAAGTATATTTAGTTTCAGACACCTATGTCTCTTGGAGCTTAGCCAAATCTTACAGTGTTTGAAAGCTCTCAAAAGGCAAATAGAGGAAAGAAATACTTCATAGTCAATACCTTGAATGAATACTTCAATGCCTTGATTATAGAAATAATTTGTCCTTGATGGCTAGAATTTTTTTAAAAATAATAGTGTTTATCTGGAGATCTTTGTGCAGATTTCTCAGACTTTCACCTTTAATTGTCTAGTTGGAATGTTCTTTTCTTATGGGAAGTACTTGGGATAAACATACTGATTGAGGGGCTGGAATATGACCGTTGTCCTTAGATTCTTTGACAGCATGATTATTGAATCTGGTTTGAAACTTTTTTTTTTCTTTTTGAGTCACACCCAGTGATGCGCAGGGGTCACTCCTGGCTCATGCACTCAGGAATTACTCCTGGCAGTGCTCAAGGGACCATATGGGATGCTGGGAATCCAACCTAGATTAGCCACATGCAAGGCAAATGCCCTACATGCTGTGCTACTGCTCCAGCCCCTGGTTTCAAACTTTTGTTTCAAACTTTGTTTCGAACGAGGCAGACTGATGAGAGTAGTTACTGCAGTGGAATATAGATGACAGACTGGGTTATGAAAACCCTGGTCTGACTGTAATTCCTCAGTGAACTAACTTGAGTAGCTTGAGCAGTTCACTAATTTTGGAGGATTAGTTTCTGTCTCTACAAGTGATGGAGTTTGATTAGAATTCATTTAATTCCCTTCTACTTGACATTTCTGTGTTCCTGAATTCTCATTTTGGGTTAACTTCAGAGATGGAAAGTAGCAGTCATACCTCTTTCTACCTTCCCTACTCCATATCCCTCATTTCTTTCTGAGAGAACTTGGTTTTCTACTTAGAGATTTTTGTTAAAAATCACATTTATTCTTGGGGGGCTGGAGCGATAGCACAGCGGGTAGGGTGTTTGCCTTGCACGCAGCCAACATGGCCAACCCGGGTTCGATTCCCAGCATCCGGTATGGTCCCCCGAGCACCGTCAGGAGTTAATTCCTGAGTGCGTGAGCCAGGAGTAACCCCTGAGCATCGCTGGGTGTGACCCAAAAAGCCAAAAAAAAATCACATTTATTCTTTACCAAAGGAATGATGTTAGTTTATTAGTGCTATCCATTTTGAAAATTTTGATCTTCTTTGAATTTTAAAAATCAGGCATATGTATTAAAGAGCGAGAATATATTTCTGAAGAATTTTAATTCGTACCTAAATCTTTGAAAGAGTCATTTCAGGAATTGTCACTGTCACTGTCCTGTTGTTCTTCGATTTGTTCCAGTGGGCCCAGTAACATTGTGAGACTTGTTACTGTATTTGGCATATCGAATACATCACAGCTAGCTGTAATGTCAGGAATTAACGATGAGACTTCCTTTTAGAAAAGAAAGGCTTTGACATTTGGTCCTGAAATTAAAAACCTTTAATACTTTTTAGTAAAATCTGCTACACAAAGCAGAGTTTACTTTGTCAATTTGAGGATTTTCCATCAAATGCTTTTAAAAGCCAATATTTTGGAAGAAATTGAAACTTGCCACAGATAGTTACTACAATAACTAGACTTGGGGGCCCGAGAGGTACTACATCGGGTAAGGCTTTTGCCTTTGCATGTGTGTAGATGACCCAGTTACTTTCCCTGGCATCCCACTTGGCCCTCCTAGCACCATCTAGAGAGATTCCTGAACACGAGCCAGGAATAAGCCCTGAGCACTGGGTGTGGCACAGACAACAACAATGAAAAAAGTTACAAATCCTAGATGAAAATTTATATATGGTGGGGAAAGGGAATAGTAATCAGGTTGGAATTCATGGTCTGATGTAAAAAACTACAGATGATATGTTTTAAAGATACAAAGTCTTTGTATTTTTGCACCATGCGTATGTGTTTACATATTTCCTAGACTTGTGACTATCTGAAAAATTAAATAATATTTATCTTTGTTATATGCCTTGACATCTGAGGTATGGATCTCTGAGAAAGCTATGAGTATGGGTCAAGATGGTAATACTGGGCTTTGAGAGTGGTGCTTACTGGGCTTAGAGAATGGGTCTTACGTGGCAAAGAATGGTCATCAGCTCTGTGCTTTGAAGAGACTTCTTTGCGGCTACAGACTTACTATTATTTGTTTTGTCTTTGCTTCATTTTGTGACTACACCAGCAGTGCTCAGAGGCGACTCCTGCATTGTACTTGGGGTTGGCCCTGTGGTACTCAGAAAACCTTACAGCACAGGGATTGAAGTTGGGCCTCCATTGCAGAGCTTGTGTCCCAGACCTCTACGCTCTCTCTCAGTTCAGAAATGTGTCTCTTACATTTTTCAGATGGCAATAAATTTAAAAAAAAAAAAGTTTGGGAAAGTTTTTATCATACCCTTTCATTTTATGGGTTTGACAAGAATAGAAATTCTCTTGTCCTCAAAGCCTGGGAAGGAAATGAACAGGAGATGTAGGCCCAGCCGCTAGCTCTGTGGATGGGTCTGGGTACACATATGTCATGTGTAGTGGAATAACTGCCTGTTTCCTTTCTAGTGGGGACTGGATATGTACATTTTGCAGAGATATTGGGAAACCAGAAGTTGAATATGATTGTGATAATTTGCAGCATAGTAAAAAGGGGAAAACTGCACAGGGGTTAAGCCCCGTGGACCAAAGGGTAAGTGTCAAGTACATTGATTCATTTTTTTAGTATTTTGTAGTTGCAGATTATAAATTTTTTGGTGCATTGTACACCAGAATGAATATTTCCCCCTCACATACTCATTCCACATTGGTAACAGTCATTTGTCACCTCAGATCCAGACTCACATATCTGGTTTCTTGTATTTGTGTGTCCCACTGAAGATCTTGATTTCCAGTCCTTGATTTGTTTGATTTTGTTTTTCTTTTCTTTTCTTTTCTTTTTTTTTTTGAGCCACACCCAGCAGTGCTTAAAAACTCCTGGCAGGCTTTGGGGGCTATATGGGATGCCAAGAACCAAACCCAGGTTGGCCACCTGCAAGGCAAGCTCCCTACCAGCTGTACTATCTCTCTGACCCCAAATCTTTGTCTTTAAAAAACAAAACCAAGGCTGATGATATTGCTTCTTTTTAGAGCTTCATGCTATTCATGTAAGTGGCCCTAAGTTCCTAACACTACAAAAAAAGAAGAAAAATATATATATATTTAGGTTAAGTGTGCACTTAAATGTGTGAGACCTGGTACTGCGAAGAGAAAATAAATTTTTTTAAAGGACCCCACAGTTAACAGATACCACCCATGTACCTGTAGTTCCCGTTGTTCACATCATTATATAGCACCAACCTGGCCTGAGGTTCCATGTGAGGACCCTGCGTGCTTTGGATCCCTGGGGGCAGCTGCCCCGTGGTGCCCCAGGGCCAGACCTGGTCTGCACAGAGCCTTGTCCTGCTCCTGCTGGTGTTGGGCTCAGCTGTAGCACTCACCTGAGAGACATGGACATCTCTCCATGTCTGTCCACTGCCCCACACACATGGTTTGTGTGTGTTTGTGAAATGAAGTTTGATTGAGGGTAATTATCTTATTTTGAGGAGAATGTGTGGTTGTCTAAGAGACCAAAAAGTTAAGGAGACGACCAGGGCAAAGGTACAAGGGATAAAGGCACTTTGTGTCTTGTCTTGCTCATATCTGACCTTGCTTCAGTTTCCAATACCCCTATGGTTTCCTCAGCCCCTATGGTTTCCTCAGCCCCACTGCTGTGCCCCCAACACAGAGATGAGAGGTTCAGGAGAGATTGGACCGCCTCGAATTTTGGTGCAGGAAGGGGGCTGTGCTCTCCGGCTGCTCGGGGTCGCTTTGTACAGCCAGGGTCTAGGAGCTTCTATTGTGAGCACTTTTTAATGATCAGGTTCTTGTTTCAAGATTGTTTTGTCAGGAGAACGAACATTTCATGGGATTTTCTTTCTTTCTTTTTTTTTTTTGGACAGAAATGTGAACGACTTCTGCTTTACCTCTACTGCCATGAACTAAGTATTGAGTTCCAAGAGCCAGTCCCTGTCTCGGTAAGTTGTTGACCCTAGTACCTCTAGATGGTTTATATGAGTTAAATCTCAGGTTTCTTGGATAATCTCAGCTCCAGGGCTCAATCAGTTTTGTCATTGGGTTATTCCAAGAAGTGCTTATAATAATTTGTGTAAAATGTTTTAGCCTAATACTAAGAGCATTTGTAACTCACTGTTGATCCGAAATTTTATTAGGGCTAAGTGGGTATGAGATTCATTTGCTAAAATTGCAGGTAATTTTTTTTCTTTTGAAGGGGTGGGGGGTGCTGTGGAACTCAGGGTTACTCCTGACTTTGTACTCAGAGGTCACTCCTAGCAGGGCTGGGGACCATATGATGTGCTGGGGGTAGGTTGGCCATTTGCAAAGCAAGTTCTCTACCTGCCTTTCTGTCATTCCAGTCCCTGAATTTAATTTCTGTGTCCTCTTTTAATTTTACAGTGAACAGAAATGCAATGGATCTGATGAAAAAAATCTTGAGCCTAGGAGTCAAAAGACTTCTAGTTCTACCATTAGCCAATCTTATAGTTTTGGGGAATTACATAATATTCTGCCTCTTTTTAAAATTGTACAGTAGATGTATTGAATTATATTTATGAAATTCCAGTTCTATGATTCTAGAATCTGTTTATTAAGGTAAAAATGTCAAAACATTAATTCTAATAAAAGCTTAAAGTGATATCTTTCATACTGGCTCTGCCTTCATAGGTCTTTCAGGAACTTATTACAGTTGGAAATAACTTCCAAGTATTTTCTTTCCACAGCGATAGCGATTCTATGTTCAATTGTTTTTTCCTTCGTTAGTATATATAAATAAATATTTGGCCAGGACTATTGCTGGAACTCTTCATGATCACTGTGGTTAATAAAAAATTTTCCATTTTCTTGTACTTTGTTGTATCCAGGAACCTTGTGACTTAAAGTCATAACCACTAAGACATAGCATATTTTAATAGCGATGCATTTTGTAACTTTATCTTTTACAAAAATAAAACCAACCTCAGGAATTAGATGAATGAACCAGATACATGTATACTTAACACTGGTACTTGATGATTGCTTTCTTTTAAAATCTACTTCTTAAGGATAGGACTTTGGTAGCTGTGAAGACTGACACATTCTGAACAAGATCCTATGTTTGTAATGTGATTAGTGCAGCTCCCGATGCCTTCCACGTACCAGCTATTTGTAGGCAGCTGACTCCGTGATAGCACAACTGCTTCTCTTAAGATTAATACGCTCTGCATTTTCAGATTATGGACTTGGACAATTCTGGAAAATCCTTATCTATCCTTATTTGTTTCTTTAGATACCAAACTACTATAAAATAATAAAGAAACCAATGGATTTATCCACAGTGAAAAAGAAGCTTCAAAAAAAGCATTCCCAACACTACCAGATCCCAGATGATTTTGTGGCTGATGTCCGTTTGATCTTCAAGAACTGTGAAAGGTTTAATGAAGTACGTTCACTTTCAAACTGTAGACTTTAGTATTGTGAGTTTTTGTTTCTTGTTTTTTGTTTTGTTCTTTTTGTTTGTTTTAATTTCATTTTTTCAACCAAGAGACTTGTTAAAAATTCAGTTGAAAGAGTTACTTCTATCTTGGTTTTAATTCAGAATTTAAATTTGATTGCATCTACAGCTTTGTTGAGGAAAGTTTACTATATAATTTGAAATATATGTGTAAATAAAATAAATTAGTCTTAAATGCCTCTTGTTTAACATGGTGAGAGTGTTGTGATAAATAGAGAAAGCAGTTAATTATGTATCATGGAAAAATGATTAGCAAACATTTAGGCCATACCTAGAGAAAGTATTTCAGTGTCCTATGGTGCTGTTGGGACCATAAAAATGGAGAACCTTAAAATCAGAGAGTAGTCTCTGGTAACTCTCGAATAGTAATCCAAAGTGCATAATGTTTGAGTTTGCTGATCTCAGCAATGTGACTTTCATTAACTTTGGTTGTTTTTGTTTTTGTTTGTTTTGTTGTGTTTTTGAGCTGTCCAGACCTTGAGAAGAAATATGTATACCTCCTTCAAGGAAATTAGTTTTATCATCTTTGTGAGCAGTATTTAACTGCTAAGAAAATTTTCATTATAGAAAAAGGAAATGGAACTGGATGGAAACTCAAAAAATCTTTAAAAAGCTGATTGTAATGCTAATGTTTTTATTGATGGTGAAATTTGGGTGATGTGTGACCATTGGAAATGTTCCCATAAATGATCCTGGGAGCTCCAGCTGGCTTTTCTACAATTTAATAATAATTATAATTCTTGTAAAGATAGAAAAAGCAAATTGCCTTTATAATGCTATGCCTTCATGTAATAAGACTTCACTCACTTGAAATTAAATTCATACAGTCCTTAACTTTGTCTTGATTTGTAATTGATGGATTATTTTCAAGAAAATACTCTGAGCTATGTGTGTCAGAAAGAGGACCATTTATCTGCTTTAGTAAAAGTTAAAAATCACTTATAATAATAGATTCCCTTACATAAAATTCTGATTAGATGGTTTATTAAAAATTTGGCAGTTTTTTTAAAGCAACTTTTCTTACGTTTGCTTCACAGATACTTTGGTCTGACAGACCAATTTCTATTCAGATTGACGCGCCCCCCCCCCCATTCAAAATTTGCGACAATTAATTGAGCAATTCATTCAATTATCAGAGCTTTGTAAAGAAAGTGTTTCGTGTTTTGTAGAAGTTGAGAAAGCACTTAATCTGGTCATAGCAGTTTGTTCCCACTGTAGTGTGGCTGACTTTTTGTTGCCAATCCTATGCAGTCTCATAACTTTAGAAAGGATTATAATTTCCCTTTTTTTTTTTTGACTCTGGTATCCTTTTTAGATGATGAAAGTTGTTCAAGTTTATGCAGAAACACAAGAGATTAATTTGAAGGTAAGCTTTTCAGACCATGCACACTTGATGAAGGAATATGCATTACCATTAGGTGAATGTCCCTATCTTTTGCTTGCAGGCTGATTCAGAAGTAGCTCAGGCAGGGAAGGCAGTTGCATTGTACTTTGAAGATAAACTCACAGAGATCTACTCAGACAGGACCTTCGCGCCTTTGCCAGAGTTTGAACAGGAAGAGGATGATGGTGAGGTGACTGAGGACTCTGATGAAGACTTTATACAGCCCCGCAGAAAACGGCTAAAGTCAGACGAGAGACCAGTCCATATAAAGTGAAATGACAATGAACGGGATTGTTTTTTAAAAAGCAAGCAAGAAAAGGAATAATAGTAACTTTTATTTAAGTGTTGCTGAACTGCCCGGTGGGCGCCTCCCTGAAGAAGCTAATAGCTTTCACACAGTGTTAGATTGAAGTGATGGACAGAAAACACAATCTTGTCACAATAAGGACAGAGAACTGTAAAAACAGAGCAAAAGTGGAATGATTTCTGTTACTAAAGAAGATGTTTTAATTGTTAGACCAGACAAAGATTGGTGAGCTGTGGTATCTATTGGTGCCAGATACTGGGTGTCTAGTGCTTGATACATTGTCTCTGTACATTTGCAGTTAGAGAAGCAACTGGATCCTCCCACACCTGTGTACTGGCACGCTTTCTCATTAAAATCAAGGTTGCTCAGATTCCACTCTTGTCAATGCATGTATGCATTGAATCATGCTCCCCTTCCTCCCCCCTCATTTTTATGCTGTGGGCCTTAGTTTTTATATTGCTTTGACAAACTCTCAGCAGTTTTATTTTCTATTCATACGTAGTCTGGAAAACATGGCCATCGATCATTCCCTAAATTTTAGCTTTCTGCTGAAATTAACATGGTAATTTTTCTCACTAGCAGATCTTATCGTTATCATTTCCAGAAAACACGTCGACAGAATTGCACTTCCCGATCAAATCATCTGATCATATAGTTATTCCCATGAAGGGCAGAATGTTTGTTTCAAAATTAATCTAGTTTTCTGTACATTTAAATTTGATTGAGAAGGTGATAACTGACTCTTACCCAGTTTTCCTTCAGAGCAGTTTCCTGATAGACCACTATTGGCAAACAGTAATCTGTCAACTACCAAATGTGTAAAATTTTCTGTATTTCACTTTGTCTTATTTGTAAATAGTGAACTAAAACTTCTGGCAGATCAGCAACATTTGCTGAGCCTGTTTTTTTAAGCTAATGTGTATTCTTACTAATGTTTATCAAGAATGGATTTGTAATATATGCTGTCTATTTCTAATGTCACATTCATATTTTAAGGTTCTATCTTATTTTAATAGAGAACAGACTTCTCAGAAAATCTTCAGAAGCAGCTTATTAAAATAACAAAATATTGAAATAAACCCGGTGGGGTTAGTTACGCATTCGTCCACCAAGTGGGACATTTGCATGGACTGGGGGCTTACAGGACTTTAGTAGAGACCCATAAGTAAACCTTAAAAAATGAGCCAATCCCCACTTGAAAGGCTACTGGATAAAACCCACTGACTGTCCTTATCTCAGCACAGGGCGGATAAATACCCTTGACTCTGGTTCATTTTCCTTCTTGTTTGTGACCCCCAGCTATGTGTTCAAGGCTATGGACAGTCTTCATGTTGGGTTGAAATTTTTCATCCCCCTTTTGTATGAACCTAATAGATTATAAAGTGACCAAAATAGAGAACTTATAACGAGATGTTTTTCAGACTTCAGCAGATTTCTGGCAAATTGCCCATTAAAAGCTTCAGCTTCAGCAGTCCAGACCATAAGCTCAAAAAAAAAAGACGCTAATTGTCTAAGAAGAATTTTTTTAGTGCATATTGAATCAAATAAAGTGCTCTAAAAATTTATTATATAATATCTTTGTTTGGGTTGTTTTCTTTTCTTAACAAGGGGTGGGGTAGAAATGGATATGATTCAGACCTCATGATGTCTTGATTTGATTATTGATTACTATTGACTGACTTTATTCTGTGACTTCCTTTTTGCCTTTTCAGCTGGAATTCAGTACACATACCCAACTGTTACTTTATTTGAGTTTCAAATTTCTGAGTTCTCTTATAAAGGAGAAAAAAAATTATTCTATACTGTGTCTATGTACATTCTCTCTTTCCCAAACACTGATGATTTTTATCAGGAGCCATACTATCTTACACAATTTAGAATGCATTGGGTTAAATACAGAATTTAATTTTGTCAAGCCATTGAGCTTTAAGTTTTTTTTCTTAATCATATGGATCCTTTTCAAAATTCTAATTAACAAGTCATATATTAGGTTCATTTATAGGGGAATAAAATTTTTTTATGTCATTCTTGATATTTGGGGCCTTGAGAGGTATGTGTTCCCTTCAAAATATGTCCATGTTATACGGAGTTTTTAGTGTTACTGTTTTAAGATTGTTTTTTTAAAATGTACTTCAGTGCAAAAATTTTGCAGCTCAATTTTTTTAAAAAAATGAGACAATTCATACTGTTGGGAAATTGCTTTTAATAGCTATCAGCATACCATCAGTCAAGGATTTGCTTTCGATCTCATTGAAGCTATTTTTCTTATTGATCACTTTATTTCTAAGCTGATTTGTTTAGAACTGTACTACAGCTGGGTTCATTGACAAAACTTAAATTCATATTCAGGTATTTTGTTTTTCTGCTAGTTTTTTTTGTGATTTTACTCATATTTGTATTCTTGGTAGAAAGGGCAATATTTTAGATTTGGAGATGTTAATGTTTCCTTGAGATTGTGCAGTGCATCACTTTGTATTATCCATCAGTAAGACACTAAGAACAAAGTGTTCCGCTGTCTAAATTCACTTTGTTGTGTTTCGTTTTCACATGACTCAGCTGATTAGCATAGTGTGAAAGAATTATTTTGCAAAATGAAGTGTGACTTTTGAGAGCATGAGAAGGTTGTAGGTCATGCTGTATAGAAAAACAACACCCCCCACCCCAAAAATAGATTTTAAAGTTCACTGATTCTTTTTATTGTAACAGTTTCAAGAAATTTTATTTGATCCAGTGAAGTAATGTTTTCTCAAAAATGAAAGGTTTATGGTGTACAAATTATAGCTCTGTCAATTTCCTCAGCAGATACCCTGCCACGTGCGATTATTAGTGATTAATGTTAATAAACGGTAGTTTTATTAACACTAATAATAACTGCTCTTCTGACTGTGGCCTTGGATTATGGGGGTAGATGCTGTGCTCTGCTCTCCGTGACCTGCAAGTTCCCGCCTGGCTTCTACACTGCAGTATAATGGTCTCTTTCTTACTGGAGTTCTTACTGCGTATTTGCAGACTGGGCAATGCATCGATCAGTAAGTAGTTTTAGAAGACTCCACCCCAGCTCTCTTAATGAAAATGGACTCGTCACTGATAACATAGATTCATATTCATAATCTGCTGAAGATGATTCCATTTTTTTCTTTGTTGTCAGTGCCAGGGGTCAAACCCAGGGCCTCAGATGTGAGCCACGTCCCTGTTCTAAGCCCGGGTCTTAGATGTTCATCACACTGGGCCTGATGTCTCTCTCATTTCCCTCACACTTAGCTCTTCCTGGATGAAGCAATAACACTGCTTTAAGTCTGTTGCCTAATAACATATCATAATCCTCTCCCAGTTGGTGATTTTATAGGAAAGTTTGTATGCATATCACCCAATCTATCTTTTAAAAATTAATAAATTTAAATGTATGCTGGAGTTAATGACAATATATTGTGGCATTTTATTTTACAAATTGGGGAAAGTTGCATATTTTTTTAAAAGTAGATGTTTGAGTAAAAAAAAATTGAAGGTACTTTTTTAAGAAAAATTTATATGCCACAGTTTACATAGACATTTCACATTTCAACATATACTCTTGGATATGATGGTTTCTTTCACTTGGTCAAAAATGCATGTATTACGTTTCTGTATTATGTTTCTTCCTCTTAGTTTCAACTTGTATTTGCCTCCGTGGTCTTTTTTTTTTTTCTGAGAAACAATTATCTTCAAAGATATCAATTTGAATATAAGCTGTCGTGATTGAACTAGAAAATGTACAAAATTAGGGCCAGAGCGATAGTACAGCGGGTAGGACACTTGCGATGAATGCAGATGATCCGGGTTCAGTCCTGGCATCCCATACGGTCCTCCCAGCACTGCCAGGAGTAACTCCTGAGCAAGGCTGGGTGTGGCCCAAAACTCAGAAATAATTTTTAAAAAATGTACAAAATTAAGTTTAGCCCTTTCTAGCAAGTGATCTTTAAAATTAAAGATGCTTTCCTTTTAAATTCACCAAATTTGTCTGTGAAAAGGCACTGAAATAGTTTTTTAAGTGCCACTGCAAAATTCCCATTCAAATGTAGCCTAAATTTAATTTTATAAATGGAAATGCATGTCTGCTCCTGGTCTGGAAAAGGTAGGCATTTACTTAGTTTCACGTCACACGAAACATGTACATATGCCTCTGAAGGAAAGATTGTACAATCTTAACGCCTGTTAATTTTCTGCATAGACAAAAAGGGTTAAATTCATAGCCGTACCAGTTCCTTGCTTCCAGTATTTAAACTGGTGGTCTCCTCATCCCGTCATCATTGTCATTATTCCTATTCTTCCTCCTCCTATTATTTTTGCACATAGTTACTACCCTTCAATATGATTCTTAAAGAAAAAAGTGCTGTTTCTGTGGTATTGTATTCTCTAAATAATCATATTTAATTTTTTAAACAAGGTTGCAGTTTCTAATTGTTCTGTTCCTGTGTTTTTTGCTGGTGTGTAATAAAAGCAAGATTTTTCTTTTAATGGTTATTTAATACATTAGCTGCCTGTAAATATTTCTCGTTATTATGCTCTGGAATGTGTTGTAGAAGTTGTATTAGATTAGTTTAAAGCCTTGTTTGAAAGCCACATTGTTTTGGTTATTTCTATTAAATTAGAAAATTGAAAAAGTTTTCAAATGAATTTCTTCTTTTCTTCCTCTTTGAGTTGAGACATACTGATTTAAATTCACTTGAAAAAAATGTGTACAATGTACCATGCACTGAAGGGTTAGTAATTATTAAGATAAATTCTGATTGTTTTAGAAGTAGAGAGGTAGTGCAGGGGGCATGGCACTTGCCTTGCATAAAGCTGACCAGTTTTAATCCCTGGCATCCTGTGTAGCCCCCCAAGTACCACCAGGAGTAATTCTTGAGTACAAAGCCAGAAGTAACCCCTGAGCATTGCTCGGTGGGACTGCCCCTGCAACCTCTTTAACTCCCCTCCCCTCTCCTCCCAAGAAAAAAATCTGATTGCCGTATTAGAGTAATATATCAATGTGGTAGGAGCACAGAGGAAGGATTTAACTTCCAACTTCGCTGGGCATGGAAGTGATCTCTACCTCATAAAAGGTAGCACCGTGGACCAGACTAGAGAAGGTACAAAGGAATACAAGAGACAGAAGCCTGAAAACGAGAACATGTCTTTTTGGGCCTGAGGGTTCGGCTCGGCTGGTACGGAGTGTCAGCTGGAGCAGTAAAACATCAGGTCTGGAACTCCAAGTACACCGAGTGTGCTTTTGCTTCTCAGAAGTGCAGTGTTTTGACCAGAGCGGGGAGGGTGCTTGCCTTGCTCATGACTGACCAGGTTTCAATCCCCAGCACCCTGTTTGGTTCCCCAACCACTGCCAGGAGTAAGCCCTGAGCATTGCCAAATGTGGCCCCCAAATACATCCACTCCCCCTCCCCAAATCTGCAGCATGTTTTGTCACATAAATGGGTTTGGAGCTTACAGTGAGAGCTGTGAGTGGTATTATAAGCAGGATAAGGGGTATGAAGAAGTGGCATGGTCACCCTTGCCTTTTTGAACCACAAAGGGTTGCAGAGGGTCCTGAGAGTAATGTAGGGGTCAAGGCACAGGCCTTGAGTACAGATAACCTGAGTTCAACACACAGCACCACGTGGTCCCCTGGGCCTTGCCGAGTGCACCCTAAATGTCCTCTGTACCTTCTGCGTGTATGGCTCAGATAATTCCTAGTGTGCGGATGCCATAATAACAGGCCACAGACCTAAGCAGTGCTTGGGGGACCACTGCCACACCCCGTCCCCCAAGTTCAAGGATGGGTTACAGAAAAGAGAAGCTTGTAGGTGGAGACCATGGACTCTTGAGTGGTCGCGACAGCTCCAGTGGCAGGAGAAATGGGGAACAGTGGTCATATTTCAGAAGGCCAGCCACTTTGTTATCCGAGGCATATTCATTCACACAGGTAAGGTGCTGGAGAGGGAACTAGGTCATGAAGGAGAGGAGAGCATCAGCTCGGTATGAGGATATCTTGAGTTACAGTATCTTTGGAAAATTAAGGTATTGATGTTCATGTTGCTTATGCTATTAAAAAGTTAAAAAGGAAAATTGTAAAAGGAGAATCTTTTTTGTTTTTTTCACCCCCCATTTTAGTTATTCTAGTGAAGCAAAGTTGTTTCTCTTGAACAACTTAGTTAGAAGGATAAGAGAGAAAAAGGGGAAGAGTGCTTGAGAGAGAAAACAAGCCTCTCCAGAATGTAAATCAGCAAAGGCAAGCACATGAGACATGTGCAAAGGAGACATGTAAAGCAAAGGACCGCATCTTTGGCCACATGTAAAGCAAAGGACCTACCCATGGTGCTATTGCTCTAATCTGCATGTTGTTATATTTTCTGATGTATTTTGTGTAGTGGGGAAAGCATGGATTTGGGCCATTGGGTTCCAATGCCAGATCTTTCTCAAGCTTCTTATATCAAACTTCAAATTACGATGACAGTATTGTAAAGACATTAAGTTTTGGTGATAATGAAAAAGCAGTAAGGACATTTGTTTCTAACCCCCCCCCCAAAAAAAAAAAATCTGAAATGCTGACTCAATTAAAACAAACACCGTTAAAATGTGTTTAAATGTTCGAGTTCAGGTGGGATAAAGAGACTAAAATCTCACTCTGTAGCATTTTTTACATAGATGCTTGACCTGGAACTAATGTGGATTTCTTACAAATGGGAAGAACATAAAACAAGACACCTGGTGTTCATTGTTAACTGCCCTGTAAGACACGTGGGAAGATCCTTCTCAGATTTGACAGACATGCGAGGCATGAATTTAGATTTGATTTTAATGATCGGATCTAATTTAATCCAGCCATTAAACTTTTAGAGGAAAGTTTTAGAGTCAAACTTTCTTGGAAAAGGCTCTATAATTTTTTTGTGTGTGTGCTTACAGTTTTCTTTAATTTTTTATATTTTTTTAGCTTTTATTTTTATAAAGTTCACAATGATTTATTACATTCAATATTCCAGCGCCAATCCCACCACCATTACACCTTACCACAGCTATTATTTCCGATTTTCCCAACCACCACTCAAGCCTGCCCCAACAGCAGGCCCTAAATGATGTATTTTGTATTGCTTGTTATGATGAATTACCTAAAAATGACCCAAAAAATTTCCTTATAAGAAAGTGTATGAAGATAGTGTATCTCACCCTGGAGCTATTAAGCCCTTGTATAAAAGATTACTAACCTGTTGTTACAGATTAAGCTTTGTGTGTCTATATATATATGTATATGTATATATGTATATGTATATATATTTGAATCACCGTAAGATACAGTTACAAAGCTTTCATGTTCAAGATTCAGCCGTACAGTGATCAAACACCCATCCCTCCACCAGTGCACACTTTCCACCACCAGTGCCCCATCCCAGTCCTCACCCTGCCTCCATGACAGGCAATCTCTTTCTCCACTTTGGGGCATTGTGTTTTGCTTGAATTTTCCCACCACCATTCAAGCTGCCTGCCAGGGGCAGATGCTAGGTCATTTATTGTCCATTGCTCATTTTGAGTATCATGGGTGCCACAGCCACATGCTTTTGGAATCCTAGATTGTAAATGGTTGGGTTCCGCAGACATCTAACTGTAGGGCACTGATCCAGTTTGAGATTCATTTGGGCCTTTCTGGGTCTTTCAGGGATGCTGGTGTGATAAGATGGTGCCTGGAGGCACATTGGATGTCACAGCCAGGCCAATGAATGGGTGGGGAGCCGGGAGGGACTGACTGGCGCCTCTGCTGCCATGCAGCCTGGAGATTTAGTCCTGGAACCTGCATGTCAGGGCTTTGCTTGTGAAAGCTCTTGGTCACCGGGACTCCATCTGGAGTAGGTGGGGAGACTGCACCTGCTCCATCCTGGTGAAATTGGCTCAGTATGGGGCCCGGAGAGATCTCCGGCTCTGTGTGTCTTCCAGGACTTGCTGCTGTGTCTCTGGCTTTTGATCTCTTGAGATTTATTTATGGGTCTCAGAAACGAGGCCAGTAATAGAGTTGACAGGGTGGCACTGGAGTTGGTTTGTGGGGTGACTGCCAGTGCTTCCATGTGTATTGGGGAAGTGGGGGGGGGGAGGTAGCCCATCCCCACTCTGTGAAAACTTGGAGATTTCAGTCGCAAAACCTGCATACCCGAATCTGCAGCAGATTATGTCTTGGTGAGGTCCGTCCTGATACGGTGGAGTCAAGTTGGAGCTATGGCAGCGATTCTGGATTATGGAAGCAGGTGGCTTCTGGGGGCTCTGCGTGGGCAGGCACAGGCCAATCTGCCCCCCTCTGATTTACCCTGGTCTGTTCAGCCATGAATAACTGTCCAAGATTAACTGTGGCTTTTAGTGTCTTTTGAGATTTATCTATGGGTCTCTGAAATAAGGCCAATAAATGAGCTTGTATAGCTGAGCCGGAGGTGATTTGTGGGTGTGCTCTCACATACCTAACTTTTGGCCTTTTAATTTCTTCGTAAACTTGGCCCCCAAGTTGTTGGGATCTGGCCAAAGGCACAGCGGCAATTTTTGGGTGTCAGGAAGCCTGAAGACACCATCAGGCTGCTGATGCACTCGCCCCGCAGGTACAGGTTGACCTGTTGGTGGCATCATACCCCCTTATTCTTAATCGAGATTAGTTACTTTATATTCTACAGCCCATCCAATGTGATGTGTTACTCCTGGTACATCAGTGGTGTAGAGTATGAGATGTTGCGCAACTGCTCCAGGAATTCTAAAATTTTAATGAAAATTTAACAGCTGGGGTAAAATTTTTACCTGGGGTCTGGAGTGATAGCACAGCGGGTAGGGCATTTATTTGCCTTCCACAAAGCCGACCCAGGTTTGATTTCCAGCATCCCTTACGGTCCCCCAAGCACTACCAGGAGTAATTTCTGAGTGAATGAACCAGGAGTAACCCCTGTGCATCATCGGGTGTGGCCCCCCCAAAATAACTTTTTAACTGGATGGTGACTTTGGGGTCTGAAGGCATCTCTGCAGGTTGCTGATCTCTTTCGAGATTTTTTTGAGTCTCTGGATCATGGCTGATTAATGAGCTTATGTGGCGCCTGAGGCAGTTCATGGGCATGACTGCCAGGCTCCTGGAAGATAGTGGGAGATCGCCCATCCCTGTGAGATCCTGGAGATTTCAGTCACAAAACCCACATCCTGAGTTTTTCAACAGATTCATTCCTGGATAAGGCTTGTTAAGCCTGTGGAATCCAGCCATAAGCGTGGTGGCAGTGGGGTTCTGGAGGTTTCTGGCTGCTGGGGCTCTGTTTGGGGGGGGTGGGAGATTCATCCACCCATTCCCCCTCCCGGGGTGCCCTGGATATAGAGCCTGCTGAGGGGTCTGGAGGCATCTCTGCTGGAATGTTTAATTTTCTTGAATGTGACAATAATGTGCTTATATATAGAAATTACATTTTATTTTTTTTTTTAGGGAGTGCATGTTCAAATTGCTAAGGATGAAGTACATTCTTATTTCACATAGACAAAAGAGTTTGTATCTTTTTTTTGGGGGGGGTCACACCCGGCGATGCACAGGAGTTACTCCTGATTCATGCACTCAGGAATTACTCCTGGCAATGCTCGGGGGACCATATGGATTGCTAGGAATCAAACCAAGGTTGGCTGCGTGCAA